AGCGATATTAGTAGCGATACTAATAGCGATACTAGAAGCAAAGCAATATTAATAATAATATAAATAATAATGAAATTAAAATTAATAAAGTGTTAATAACGTGTTAATAAGGTTTTAATAATAATAATTAATAAAGTTAATAATAATTTAATTAAGTGTAATAAACGTATAAACTCGATTATAAATCGAATTATAAAGTATAGCAATCGAGTATATTCGATTGTAAATCGAGTATTCGGTATAATAACCGAATTCATTCGGTTGTAAATCGAGTATTCGGTGTTAACTCGGTTGATAATCGAATAAACGTTTTTAAAGTTATTCGAGTTACAATTAAGTATATATCGAGTATTCGATTTACAATCAAGTGCACTCGGTTGCTATACTAAAACGTTAAGATGTAAGTAAAGTGTAAGTAAAGTATTGTAATCGAGTGCATTCGGTTGCTATACTTAAAGGTTGCGCTTGTAAGTACTTTAAGCTATCGTAACTTTAAAATAGCTTTTATCGTCGAAAGCTGCGTTTAAAAGCTTAAAGTAATATCGGTCTTATTTAGTTATAAAATAATTATATTTAAAGCAAAGCCTTCGTTTTTATAAAAAAAGTAAATCATTTTTATTTTTTTTAAAGCGAAAAAGATTTAATTTTTTACTTTATAAGCTAAGATATTTTAAATATCTGTTGCGAAAAAAGTAATATTAAATATAAGTAAGTATAATGCATTGTAAATGCAAATATTATTAGCGTATTTAAATCGTAATATCGTATTTTAATTAAAGAGTTCCGCGAAGTATAATATATATAAAACGAAAGATAACGGTGATCTTTAAAGTATATCGTATTTTACGTTATAACGATTTATAATTGCACTTTCGAAGCGTACTTAAACTTATCGGTCGTTAAAGAAAAAGTGAATAAGCTTTAAGAAAAGAAAGAGTTAACTTTGCTTATTTATACGCTTAAAAAGCCGACGCTTAAGCAAAGCGTCGAAAGCCTTTTAAACGTTTAATATTATTATCGTAATAATCTTACTTGCTAAAAAAGCTGCTTCGATATTATAAGTAAAGCAAACTACGAAGTTTATAATAAATCGCTTAAATAAAGCTCCGCTATATTAAAAGCTTAAAATGCTTAAAGTCAAAAAGGTTTAAGCAATTCGCTTAGCAATAATACGCTTTAAGTTTTTAAATATATAAAAAAAAAGCTATAAAGCGTTACGAGCGTATCGAAGTTTTATTTTTCTTATTTACTTTAAGCATTATAATTACTTCCGTTAGTTTTTAATAAATCGAAAAGAAGCTATATTAAAAGCAAGTATTAAATAAAGCGTAAATATAATATTAAATATATAGTTAAACTTTTTTTAAAAGCTTAATAATAATCCGGTCCGTACTTAACGAAATGCTAATTACTTTTATAATGCTTTATTTTATTTTTTCGAAAAAGACTGTTAAGTTTTATAATAAATGCTTTATGCTGTTATATTAAAGTTCTTTCGGAAAATCGTCTTTTGCGTTAAACCGGCTAAGTATAATCCGTCGTAATAAGTCCGCTTTTTTTTAAATGTTTTATATAATAACTTTTTTATATACAAAAAAAAAAGATTTAAAATTAATAATCAACTTATATTAGCTAACTATTTTATATAAGTCTTTATCGTTTGCAATTCCGTTTAATACTTATATTTAATAATCTTTTTTAACTTTACGTATAGCGTTGCGGAAATGCTTAATCTCGTTCGTTAAAATACGATCGATAAAGTTTTAACGCGCTTCGATATATTCGTAATAAGCTTATTCAACTTTCGAAGTTTATTGAAAAGCTATTTTGCTTATATTTCGATAAGGTATATCGACGATTTTAATTATATTTTTAAAAATCTTTGCGAAAGTTAAAGCACTTTTTTTAATTTATACGAAATCGTAAAAACTCGAAAAGTCGAAAAAAGTATTTATATTATTACGTATAAAATCTTCGAACTTATTTATATCTTTATCCGCTATTTTCTTATAAAACTAGTTTATTAGCATGCGCTTTCGTTTCGAAATCGTAATAATTAAAGTCTAATAGTTTAAAATATTATATAAGTCTTTTTTTATTATCGTAATAGCGTATAGTATATTTAAGAAAGTAAAGTTTAAAACGTAGCCGAGCTAATATATAAGTTCTTTTAGCACGTTGATAAAATCTATACCGCTCGTTATAAATTAGTTTGTAAAATCTTTTTTTCGATAAGCGGTCCGAACTTTTAATTCGATTATTTCGTATTATATATTAAAGTCTTTTTTTATTAAGTATTTATAATTAAATATAAAGTATAAAACTTAATCGATAACTTTATTAATAATCGATTGTTTATAAGCGTTAAAGATAATATATCTATTAACGTCGATTTAAAGTATATCTTTATTTTAAACCGGTCGTCGTTGCTTTATATAAAATCTAGCTCTTTTGCGAATATACATAAAAACTCGAAGCTTTTCGACTTCGAAGTTGTCTTTCGAAATTCTTTATAAGTTTATTAAAAAGTAGATATTAAAAGCGAAATATGTTTATATTTTTATATTAAAGTAAGTAATTGATTTTTGCACGCATATTACGTTTATCTTATACTTATGCGTTAAAGTGAGTATAATTTAATAATTAAGTGTAAAGCGTTTTATATTAGTTTATCCGACGTATATATCGAGCTTAAACCGTATCGTATAATCGTAACCGGTTCGTATTAATGTATTACTTATTAAATAAATTAAAAAATAAGTTCGTTTTCTGAGTTTGCGTCCGCGTTTATTAAAAATAAAATCTTAAACTTAATTTTGAGTTTTTATTTAATTACTTTATAGCTTCTTTAAGCTTTTAAGCGATTATTAAAAGTAAAAATTAAAATCAAAGTTATATGTTCGTATTCCGTTACTTTTTATTTTGCGACGCGCTTACGCGTTACGAAAGCTTTTGTTGTATTGATATTTATAATATCAATTTATAAGAATGAAGAGATCGCAGTTAAAAACTCGATCGAAGATAAAGGTGGCTCGTGCACTTTTAGCATAGCAACTACTTATATGTAACTGCATTTCGCAGCTAAAGTAACTTCTTTTTTCTTTTAGACTTAACAATATTACGAATGCAACTACTTGTTATTTGTATCAAGTCTTACGTGTGCACTTATTGTATAACTAACATTGATTAATAATTAAATTCACACTTAACTATAGATAAGCTAAGTATAAAAAAAAAAGGTAGTTTTTGCTTTTTTAAAAGTATTAATTACGCTATAAGCAACCGTTAATTCTTAATAAGTCTAGCGGAAACTTAATACAATTAGCAGTATTATCACTAGTTGTAGCGTCTATTACGCAACTACCGCCGCTAATATAACGGATGACAAAAACAAAAACTTTTTTTACGAATTCGAAAACCTATTTTCTCTTTTTCTTTTAAAGAAATCTGTTCGACTTTTAATAAGTAGCTTCGAAGAACTCGAATAGACTCTTCGAAGCAAATTCAAGGTCGACCGAAAGGTATAAGAAGCTAATGATTTTGACCTTTCCGATAAGACTAAATAGACTTAAAGTTGCGTTCACTCGTATATTATCCGAGCCTTCGATATATTTAAAAACGATTATCGCTACACTATAAGTGATAATTTGTAAGAGATATACTAGAGCTTCTTCGAAGGATAGACTGAACTATTGTTTAAGCTAAGTCACATCACAATCTTAAGATACTTATATAATCACTTCTTCGTCTATTACGTGTAGATAAAAGATCTAAAAAGTAGTGTAAGCTATGCTTTAGCTTTTGCTAAACTACTTTACAGATTTACATTTTTTATATTTCTATTTTACGAAGAAGCAAGACGAGAAAAACGATTTAGTTTAATAATATACAGACCTGCTATCAAACCTTTATTTTCTTTTTTACTTTTTACACCTTTTATACCGATACAACTTATACGACCACCTCTTTTACCGATACATCTTTAACTGTATCGACCCTTACTTTCGAATGATATACAATTCGATATACTATTCGATAAGCAACTTTATTAATAGCAAAGATAATAAGAGTTCACCTTTGACTTTCGATTACAACTTTTACCACCGATTTACTCGATCTTGTCTCGACCTTTACTTAACTTATTGGTTTATAAACAACTTTACGTACTACTTATCTTCGAACACCGCGAACTTCAAAGACGAAAAGCAAATGGAAAAGGCGGAAGTGATAATAGTAGAAGCAACTATACGAAAGATTCTTACCGCAGAGACAATTACAGAAGAGGTAAAGAAGGAGGTGGAGGAGAAGGTGGAAGAGGAGGTAGAGGAAGAGGAGGAGGAAGAGGAGGAGGTGGAAAAAGAGGCGGAGGTAGTAATAAAAGAGAACTTAACTAATCAGCTAAAAGAGGCTAAAGATCAAGCCTAGCGCAGTTGATTAGCGGACTTAATAAGATGTATAGATATAAGAAAGAGCTTAAATATAATAAAGGAATGTAAAATATACTTTTCGTAAAGCTAAAGAAGTTCTATAGCTTATGCGAAATATACGATATCTTTTTTACTTTATACGCTAAAGCTTTTTTAATCATACTTACCTGAGCAGCAGACGCTTACTATATCGATCAAATAGCTAGCAGAAGCTACACTTTCGAAGCTATGACACACTTTATAACTTAACACTTCGAAACTGATGAAAACCGAAAGCATTATATAAGCTTGTAAAGAACTACTATATTCGTTAGTATTATTGCAAACAAAAAGAACATCGAGAAGACCCGACTAGAGTGCTTAGAGATTACGTTAAAGCTTTTAAAAAGCTGTTAGCAAAGCTTTATACTCGAATATCAGACCGATAATGTATTGCGCGATCAACTTATTAGCGCTTGCAATAAAGTCGAAGAATGCAGATTAGCAATGTTCAATTTAGCTAATACATACGAAAGAGTTGTTATTCAATTACGATCAGCAATCGATACTATTTAAAAAGAGCGCTAAGTACTCGAATACACAGCTCTTCTTACTATATATTATGCTTTTAACGATTATAATTGCGATACTAATTGCAATCACGAGACTTATTACACCGATCGAAACTATAAAGGATCAAGTAAGAGCTATAACCGTAGCTCAAGAAGCTATAATCGCGGTAATAAAGGTAAAGGTAAGAACAGAGGTTTTATACGTAGAAGAGGAAATAAAAGCTTCTGCGGAAGCAATAAAAGAGGTAGAAAGCTTAAGGTATGCTTTATTTGCGGCAAGCTCGATTGCTAGTTTATAAAACATTCTTTTAAAGAACGAAAACGCTTTTACGACGAGTACAAGAAAAGCGTTATATATTATACCACTTAATTAATGACTTTGGCTTATTTTGCAAGCTTCTTAGCGGATTACGAAAGAGTAGAAGGTATTTCAAACGAAGAAAATCATTAAGATTAAGCAATATACGTTATTAAAAACTATTAGTACGACGAATACGATTACGATGATCGCAATTACTTCACTTAAACTTTCTTTATCGAAGCTAAAGAAGTGATAAGCGCCGAAACTATTACAATTTTGCAAGAACGCTTAGCTTACTACGCTTTCATTACTTTAAACGTTATGAACCTTTCAATTAAAAAAGATAAGACCGTTCTATTAAAGACTTATATTTCACACTTTCGGTATTCAGCTTACCGATTCTAAAGGTTTCTTCTTGATTCGAGAGCTGCAAGTAAGTCTTTTGCAAGAGAAGCATAAGTAAAAGCTTTTTAGCATTACTTACTTGAATTACAAATGATTATTACTTAAAGAAGTACTATTAGCTTCGGCGAAACCTCGGCTATTATTAAAGGAATCGTAAAAGTACAAACATTAATTAGCAAGATCGTTTTTCATATAGTTAATACTAACACCCTTTTCTTAATCTGTTTAAAAGACATAGATTCTTTTAGCGTGTATTTTAATAATCTGAGAAATCTGTTTATGCAAAGCTATAATAGCGTGCTAGTTGTTAGAAAATAAAGCTATCTATTTTTATTGCTTAATTAGCAAGAAACTATTATATGCTACTTTACCGAAAGAGAATTACGTTAAATTTATCGCCGCTAAAGACACCTTTTAGTATAGCGTTTTGCTATTACTTTGAAAGCTGCAAATAAAGAGTTTGAAACCGATATCTTCGAAAAGATTATTAAGTATTATACGTAATATCAATTACATAAGCAAGCTTTTCGCAGATTCAAAATCTTTTTAAAAGATGAATACGAATTCAATTATTCGATTATTATTAATATTATGTATATCGATAAAGACTTCGTATTATATATCGTAGATTCAGTTACAAGTTACAATTCTAAAGGATTCTTTAAGAATATGACTGCAAAACACGTGTAAGATATAATACGTTATTATTAGATCGATATATACTTAAGCTTTTTAAATGTAATCGTAATAAACGCTAGAATTAACTTAAGCTCTTAAGAGTTTAAACAATAAGCAAAATCGATAAATACTAAGATCAAAGTAGTCTTAATAGAAGCTTATAATAGCGTCGGAAAAGTGGAGCGTTATTATAGCTTTCTCCGAAGAATATATAATATTCTAAAAGAAGAACTAGCAAATAAGAGAGTTGACAAGCATATAGTACTTTAAATAGCTTTTAAAGCTATTAACGATATAGTCGGCTTTAAAGGTATTGTCTTTATATTGCTCGTATACGGCGCATACTTACGGTTTTTTAAAACAGATTCTTTAGCATTGTTTATAACGAAAAGACGAGAAGCTTTTCGAACTGCAACTAAAGAGATTCGTCGATTATAAGCTAAAAGAAAAGTTAAAGACGCTTTAGTAATGCGAAATGGACTAAATACTTTAGAAACCTTTAACCTCTTTTTGCAATCAAACGTTAGAGTTTATAAAAAAGTAAAAAGTAAACTAAGCAAAAGCGAATAGACTAGACCGTATAAGCTAATTGCACGAGAAAACGAGACTTGCAAAGTACTCGTAAACGACCGAATTAGCGAATTCCGTTTAGTAATTATTAAATTATATTATAAATTACTTTTAAACACGCTAAACCTCGAAGAATCTTTGCTACCGAACCGGTCAATTAAAGCTGAACTATTACCGGTCTAGCTTACAAGACAACTTATTATTTTAGTTATTAGAATTAGATTACGCTTGCGCAAACCGAAAGGTAGTTTAGCAGTTCGCTATAGCTTTTATTACCTTTTTGCAAGTATAAAAGAATTCAAACACTTTAACGAGCAATTTCTTAATCACGAGAGTGATGTTATTAAAATATTCTTTACTTATAAAGAAAAAGCTAATATTGCGTTCTTTACGAAGCTTAAAAACGAAAAAGTTATTATTACGCTCGGCGAGCAATTCGTAAAATCACGCTTTTAAGAGCTAAAAGGCTTAATAGAGAAGGAAGTATTTAAAGTTGTATAATACAATCTTGCAGTCTACGGAACAAGCCGCATATTCAACTTTCGAATAGTCGATAAGGTCAAAAGCAAAAATACTTTCGAACTATACGAAAAATCACGCTTTGTTATTTAAGCTTAAGAAGACGAAAGCAAGTATGATATTCTTATTTAATCTTCGATTATTTAGCGCAATAGCTAGCGTTTAATGATTTCTTTAGCTTTATTCTTAAGATCTTTTAATTAAGCAATAATGTCTTTGCGGGATATTACTTAAGCTTACGTATCGAGTTAGCGCTATTTCGAGCGTATGATCTTGGCGTATTTGCTTAAAGACTTTTAATATTTATACCTTTCGAGCTATATCTTACTGATTCGTAGACCTTTATACGAGATTGCGAAAGCAAGTATCTATTAGTAAGACACTTATTATAAACATTATAAAGATAAGCTATTTATGGTTTTTTTTATATACGACCTTTGTTTGTTGATCTTTATAACTAGTAAATTCGCTATTATTAGAATGCAAATAAACGACACGCTAATAATAGCTGATAAAGAGTTCAATGACTTAGAAGAGCAAGAGCTTAAGAAAGCTGATTTTAACGCTAAACTAAAAGAGACGCTTATAATAGAAAACGAAGTGATATTTAATAAAAGAACACTAAAGAAGTTCGCTAATAGCTCGATTCTATTTAAGCAGAAGGACTAAAAGAAGAAGCTAAAGCTAGTTACCGAAAATAAAGACAATTACTTAAAGCAACGAGCACGTACAGCTTACATTGCAAGCTTGTATTAGCTCGAAGCTATTTTCGACTTATCTACCGCTGCGCAGATTTAGCAAAAGGACCTTACTTTAAACGATATTACTTTTTTAAATAAAAGAATTGCATAAATGATAAAAAACTAGCAATAAGGTTTATTATACTTTAATATCGACTTACGTTTAGCGAAGCTATTCGTATTCGTAAACGAAAGCTTTGTTAATAATAAAGATTGCAGCTTATAAATTAGTTTTCTAATCATTTTAGCAACCGAAAAGAAGTTTAATAGCTCTTTTTTTATTTAAAAGAACTTGATTGCTATTAGTTCGATAAAATGCAAGCGAGTGACACGCTTTGTGCTTGCATCGGAAATCTATAATATAATCTCTGGTGTAGATATTGCTATTTGCGTAGCTACCACTTTTAAAATGATTACTAACAAGCTAGAAATCCCGGAGGTTCTTATAATCGTTTATACCGACTTATATTCCTTTTACGAATGCTTTATTAAGCTTAGAACTATTAAAAAGAAGCGCTTAATGATCGATATTATAGCTCTTCGACAATCATACGAGCGTCGAGAGCTTGCAAAGGTCAGATAGATTAAAAGAAAAGATAATTTAGCCGACTTTATAACGAAAATCAACTCAAATAAATCGTTGGCGACTTTTATTAATACAAACAAAGCTAACGTACGTGTCGAAGGGTAAGTGGAAAGAGTATAAAGAAGTCAAGCCGGAAACGGAAAGAACGGTGATATAAGATTTTTTAACCAACAATATTAAGAATGATAAAGCTATTTTTTACTTGTATTAGAATTGCAATTGCAATTGCAATTACTGCAATTGCAAAAGAGAAAATTGCGAGTGTAAGAATAAGAGGATCGGAGTTAAAGACTCGATCGGGGATAAAGGTGGCCCGTGCACTTTTAGCATAGCAACTACCCACATGTAATTGCACCTCGCAGCTAAAGTAACTTCCTTCCTCCCTTAGACTTAACAACACCACGAATGCAACCACTTGCCATTCGTATCAAGTCTCACGTGTGCACCTATTGTGTAACCAACACAATTGCTTTCGAGCTTTATGTTTAGCGCAATAGATATACCGAAGTATTTATATTAAGAGTGCTGTTATTAATAATAATAATAGTAATAACGCTGCTTATAAAAGCTGCGAAAATAAAACATAAAATGTTATTTCGTATATACTTCTTTTTATAATTCTTAATATTAATGTAAACACCCTGCCTGATGGGATACTTGCCATGGCCACTAAGGCCATACTAGACGGACCTATCTTCTATAAGAGGACATACATCTTTTAGCTAGAACAATCAACGAGCTTTCTACCTACCTTTTTTAACACTTCTTTTGTGAAACTATAAAGTCTAGCCTTAAAGCTAGGCTTTCGTACAGCATATCTTTTTAAGTGCTTTTACATTAATGACTTACGCAAAGATTCAAACCTTTAATCTCTGTCTTTATATAGCTTATTACAATCGCTTGATTCGCAGTCAAGTTGACTTTCGTTTATTATTCAGCTTTTTTCAAACTTTACAACTACAATTTCAAAACAATCAAATCTCTATTCCCGATAAGTTCGGATATCGAAACGTCGAAATAGCCGAAGTGCAATATTTCGGCTCTTCGGCAAAAACTCTTTTTTATTATTAATAAGAAA